GAGGAGGAGAATGTGAGGCAGGCAAGCAGAGGATCCATTCTCTCCGACAGCCAAGAATTGTTTTTAACCCTGGAGCCCAACCCTACACAGGACCAGTTGGCGGTGGAGTGTGATGCTGGGAAAGGCATTTCTGGTGAGACCACATTTCCAGTCAAACTGTAGGGGTTACATGCTATTATATTTTATGTTTAATCTGAACAAAAACGTAGGTGTAATGGGTATCGATGGCCACTCCAGCTACGCAGAGGGTGCTCCCTGAAACAGACTGTTTATGTGCATGGGGATGGCCCGGGAATCCTCCATGGAGATCTCCAGGAAGCTTTCATAGAGGTACCCTGCAATCCTTTGTAGAAGGTTTCTGGGAAGGGCTGCCTTTTTTTGTTCACCCCAGTAGGACGCTTTCCCGCGCCACTCCAGTATTCACTCTGATGGCATCATTGCAACACAGAGCATTGCAGCATACGGACCAGGTCTGTACCCAGATGTTTGCAGCATCTGCTCCCTTGCTGCCTCTGTTACCCTCAGGAGAGTGATATTGCATAGGGTCACCTATGGGAAACAAGGGAAGCTTTCAATGCTAGCCCTTAAACCGCAAATAATTCAGCAAGTAATCCACACCGTTTGGTGAAATATGGGTCACACCACCACACTTTCCCAAACGTGCCGTGGTTGTGATTGGAAGGGATCACCGTGTATCACAAGCAGAATTGGGGCGGAAAAAGAAAGGGGGTAGGGGTGGCAGCTTCTTGTTTGTCTCCCTTCCCCCCTCAACCGGGTGCTGCTTTTGTAAAAAAAAAACCAAACTATTTGGGGGGGCTTTACCCTGGTGCCTGTCCTCAAGCACCATCCAGGTTGCTAAGGGAAAGGGGGCTTTTCTCAAGTTCCAACCTGTGATTCCAAGGATATCTTCACAAAAGCAGTAGCACAAAGCCTCTCGCCCGTGCCTCGTGGCCTTACTCACCCTAGCTGGAGCAGCGAACCAACACTTGCAATAGCCAGCGGTTGCGATTACGTTGTGGCTTGCAGTGAAGTGCATTGAGGGGTGGTTTTTTATTTAAAAACAAAACCAAAAAAGTTTACCTTGCACCAGAAACTATGTAAGCACCGTCAATGTTACCCTTGTGCTTTGCAGCAGAAACCTAGTCCGTCGGCGCATCCTCCACACTGGGACAGAGACTTTCCCAGATTAGAAGGCGGAAAAAAACTCAGGAGGACGTGTTCAATGCGTTAACGCGCGCCTCTGAGAGTGAGAAGATGGCACTTAGAGCATGGAGGGTTGCACTGTCCGAGAACATGGAGCTGGACAGGGAGGACAGGAGAGGATGCAGGAAGAGATGCTGCGGATTATGAATGAGCAGTTAGACATGTTGAGGCGTCTGGTTGAGGTTCATGAAAGGCAGCTGGATGCAAGAGTCCTGCTGCAGCCAATGCTGAACCTGCTGCCATCATCGCCCAGTTCTACATCCTCCTCCCCCAAAAGTCCTATTAGGTGTGTGTGTGTGGGGGGGGGCAGGGTGTGTTCTGTATCCCTTGCACTCAACACCAGAGGGTACAAGGACCAGAAGATGCCCATTCCTACACCTTTAATTGTTATTGCAGTGCATCTGTAAGCAAGCTTTCCTTGTTTCTCCCCCCACAGTGTTATCAGCCCTTTTGCCCCCAGGTTATCTTACTTTTCTTTGCTGTCTCTGTGTGCTTGTGTGCATAATAAAACTTAACAGATGGAGGAGAAAAGGCTCTTTATTCATTCAACACATGGTGGTTGGTGAGGGTGGAGTTTTCAGGGGAGAAAATGCAAGGAAGGGGACAGCTTGGTAGGGAACAACACAGATAAGTGTTACATTACTCTGGCTTATTGCTGAAACTAGTTTTCAAAGCCTCATGGAGACACAGAGCTCCTCAATGTGTTCTTTTTGCCCTGGTTTCTGACTGTTCAAAATTGGCTGCCAGGTGATCTGTCTCAACCCCCCCACCGTAGCGGAAACTTTTCTCCCTTTGTTTCACAGATATTGTGGAGCACACAGCAGACAGCAATAACAATGGGGATACTGCTTTCACTGAGGTCTAACCTAGTAAGCAAACAGCACCAGCGACCTTTTAAATGTCCAAAGGTACATTCCACCACCATTCTGCACTTGCTCAGCCTATGGTCGAACTGGTCCTTACTGCTGTTCAGGCTGCTGAACAGTACAGTACAGCAGTACAGCTTTGCGAGCCATAGGAGCAGGCTGGGTCTGCCAGGATCACGATTGGCATTTCAACATCACCAATGGTTATTTTTCAGTCTGGAAAGAAAGTCCCTGCTTGCAGCTTTCTGAACAGACCTGAGTTCCCATGTTGATGTCGGTGAAACAGCCCCTGTGATCCACTAGCGCTTGCAATACCCTTGAGAAGTACCCCTTTTAGTTTATGTACTCTTTGGCAAGGTGGTCTGGTGCCAAGATAGGGATATGCATTCTATTGCCCCACCGCAGTTAGGGAACCCCAGCGAGACAAAACCATCCACTATGTCCTGCACGTTGCCCAGAATCACTACCCTTCTTAGAAGAAGTCTGTTAATGGCCCTGCAAACTTGGATCACAACAGATCCCATGTTAGATTTACTCACTCCAAATTGGGTCCCCACTGACTGGAAGCTTGCAAGGCCAGACTGCTACCCCAGAGCTATCACCACGCGCTTCTCCGCTGTCAGAGCAGCTTTTATTTTACTGTTGCTGCACTTCAGGGCCGGGGAACGCTCTTCACCCGGTTCCTGGAAAGTGGCCTTACGCATTCAAAAGTTCTGCAGCCAGTGCTCGTCATCCCATAGCTGCATAACGATGCAGTCCCACCAGTCAGTGCTCGTTTCCCAGGCCCAGAAACGGTGCTCAACCGTGTCAAGGTGATGCTTGACTGTCACCAGCAACTGTGAATTGCTTTGCTCTGTGTCTTCCAGCAGGGTGGCATCACATTGTGCCATGTGGCAGCTCTTGTATCAGCTGTGTAAATACTGCAGGATAAGGCGCGAGATGTTTGTAATGCTCAGAACAACGGAGTACAGCTCAGCGGGGTCCATGTTTCTCGTGCTAGGGCGTCCACGCAGCTAACCCAGCCTTATGAAAAAGGCTCGATTGTTTGCCATTGATTTCAGGGAGGGAGGGAGGTAAGTGCGTCACGGGAGGTTAACGCCCTGTTCCCCTAACCACCCGTGCCAATGTTTTGGTCCCATAAGGCATTGCAAGCCCAACCCAAAATTCCCCTTGGCTATGTGCCCTGAGGATTAGCTACCCACAGTGCACTGCTCCGGGCGTTGATGCAGGCCCTGCTAGTGAGGATGCACTCTGCCGCCACAATGAGCATGGTGTGGACAAGCAAGATCGACTTGCTTCAGTCGGAGGCTTAATGTCAACTTCCATAAAGTCAACTTAACTTTGTAGTGTAGACATGGCCTAAGTCTACTGCAGTAAACTGTTTATTCAAATGAAAAGTTTTAGTTGGGGGTTAGAGAAATACTGTTTTCTTAAACACAGAGGTGGCAAACCACATTGATGAACAGAATTCAAAGCCTTAATCTAAAATAAACCCCAATATTTACCCAGAAAAAATTATTAATATTTTTTTGCCCCGATTTTCACCTGTTTTATAATAAACACTGATCCATTCCCGAGAAAAATTAAATAAAATAAAAACGGAAAATGAAGGGCTCTACCCATGTGCTAGGCCTTGTTCAGAGATGAAGGCAAATATCCTGTCCTGTAGCAGGTATCCGGCTGGCACCTGGCTTCCCTTGCCGCCAGACAAGGGCACGGTGCTGACGGCCTCTTGTTGCCTAAGTTTAAACCTGTTCTGGAGCCTTGAAACAACTGCTGTCCCTAGTGAGTTCGGGGCTGGCCTCACTGGACACTGACGGTCTCTAACCATAGAAGAGGCACAGCAGAGTCTGGGAAGCTTCCCCTCTCCACACCTCAACGTTGGCTGGGATAGCTCAGCTTGGGTCAGCCTCCGCCCGCACTTAGCCCTTCTGCTGAGTGAGCCATTGTGAACACGCTTGAGGCCGTGGGGACATCTGCCGGCCCAGAGACTCGCCAGGTTGACATCCCGCCGGTTACCAAAAGTGACGTCGGCTCTGACGGCAGACGAGGTCGGAGTTAGAAGCAACGATGAACTTTGTGATTTATTAGCACTCGCTGTGCTCGGTAGAACCCTGTCCTGGCAGCTGGATGTGCCAGTGGAGGGTTGTGGTGCCTGGAGGAGAGCTGCAGCTACGAGCGGGTCTTTAAGGTTGTGTGCGGAAATAAGTAGTTCTGGGCCCAGTGGCCTCAGCAATCCGGCTGCCAGGTTTGAAGCGACTTGAGCCAAGGTGTCTCGAGCAGAATAGATATTCTGGGGGCCCTGGGTTCCTCACGATCCACCCCTATGGCTTTTAGAGCACAGTGGGGGGGGGCAAGCTTCAGCTCTAGTGGAATGTGTCACTGGGAAGTAGAGAACAGATGGCTTAGGGCAGAGGTCCCCAAAGTGTGGGGCGCCGCACAGCTGGGGACCAGGCCAGGCCCCATGGGGGGGCGGGAAGGGAGTGCCACCCAGGTCCATTCCTGGCCCCGGCCCCAGCTGCTGGCTCCTGCTGCCAGCCCCGTGCCCAGTGTCCCCCCTAATAGCGCTGCACCCAGGGCTCTGCGCCCAGCCTCGGCCCCCTTACCCCTGTCCACGTACCCCCTTCCCAGAGCCGTGACCCTGCTCCTGGCCCCAGCTCCCTGATCCTCGTCGGGTGGGAGGCACTGGGGTGGGGGAGAGGGAGGAGCTGATTGATGGGGCCCACCGGTGGGGGCTGAGCACCCACTATGTTTTCCCCGTGGGTGCTCCAGCCCCGGAGCACCCATGGAGTCAGTGCCTATGCCCGAAGCCTTATTATGAGCTGCCACATCGCCCAGTGCCTTTCCCTAGTGGACATAGCTGCAGTGGGAGGTGGGGACCAGGCTGCGTTTTCACCAGGCTGATCTCATTGCTTTCCGTCTCCTCTGCAGATCACGCTGATCTTTAAGAGTTACCAGGGCTGTACGGAGCAGAAGGTTTATCAGGCGACCACAGAGGACCTACCGCTGGCGTTCAGTGATGGCACAAGAACCGGAGGGTGGCAGGAGGGAGCCAGCAGCCTGCGCATCCTGGAGAAGCCGGACACCGGCCAGGTGGAAATCCAGGCCAACTACATTGGCAGCACCGTCATCATCCGCCAAGTGGGCCGCTACCTCACCTTCGCCATCCGTGTGCCGGAGGAGACCCTGAACCTCTCGGAGGAGAGCGCCGGCCTCCAGCTCTGTCTGCATGGCTGCCCGAAGAACGAGCTGATCCAGGAGCACAGGCTGAGCCTGGCGAGCTCTAGCCCGCTCTGGCCCAGCTCTCGACGGGCCTACACGGTGGAGATGGCCACCGAGCAGTGTCGCCACATCCTGCAGGTGGAGGACGTGTATTTCCAGTCCTGCGTCTTTGACCTGCTCACCACGGGGGACCCCGAGTTCTCCATGGCTGCTTACGGGGCCTTGGAAGACTTGAAGGCGCTGTACCCCAGCAGACTCAAGTTGCATACTGTGTCCAAGGCTATTAACGTGGCCACTGGTGCTCCGGAGCCTGGGCAGCCCGCTGCCTCGTTAGTCTGGTGCGGTCTTGCCTTCCTAAAGCTGCTCTGGTGCTGCTAATGAGTGTGGATCTTTTGCCAATATTGGGCCCCAGTATAGGAAGAGAGAAGCCCCTGGTACCTCCCAGCCTTGGAGCAGAGTGGAGGGTCCAAATTCTCCTCCCACCAAGCCGGCCTGCTTGGTCCAGCTGACTCCCACTCTCCATTGCTAACTGAAGGCGAAGTGCGGCTTGCTCAGATATTCTGGTCTCCACTGAAGCCCATAAGCCACAGCTGCCCCCCCGCCTTGTGAGCAAGAGTTGGGGACCAGCATTGGCTCTTGCTTCGCCAGGGCTGCTGCTTAGGAGGTTGGCCAGACTCTCAACTGGCCAGCTCCGAGGGAAATGCTGCCCCCATCCATAGCACCTGCTTACCGACCCCTTCTCCGTCACTGATGTGCGAGCAGAAGGCCCCTCATTCCTTCCCCACCCCGTCCTCCAGATAGAACCTCCTCCAGCTTTCCCTACTGCTGGCCCTTCGAGGGATTTCTCTGCCATCTCATGGCTGCCGTGCTCCTAGGTTGACCCCATGCTGACTTGGTGTTCTTACCAAGCGCTCAGCTTCCCTGTGCCATGATGAGCAAATTGGGCGGGGATACTACACGGCTGGGGCTGTTACTGGGAGTGGCCCCTTGTTTCCTCTGCGCTCCAAATCCAGAGCGATGGCTGTAGAAACAAAGCAAACTAAGAAGCCCTCTCTGCAGGTAGCCACGTGCCTCAGGAAACTACGCCCTGAAACCTGGCTGCTTTCCAGTGCCCCTGAGGAAAGCTGCCGGTTGGGGTAGGAAGGGACAGGGGGAACTCTCGCGCTGTTCCTCCCACAGAACTGTCTAGCCTGTGAAATGGTCACGATGGCTCATGCCCGTAGCCTGCTCCACCCCAGACACACGCTCCGTGGCTTCAGCTAGCCCAAGCCCAGATAGAGCCCTTTGTGGATTTGGGAGCTGCTGACCCTGAAGAAGCAGCTTCTCTTATTATCACTGCTAAGATGTGTAGATTTGTGCTCTCCAGCCTGTAAATGTCTGTACGACTGGTGTTCCTCCACGCAGCTGTTCTTTGTGGACTTCATAAACCTCCCCCCAACCAGCTGTTAATAGCATTTTAACCTCAATTGTCATTAAACCGCTGTTTTTTAAAGGGTCAGTGGTCTCTTGCCTGTATGCAGGGAAGGAGTCAAATGGCCTGAGCCTGCAGCCTGATCCCCGATGTGCTCAGGTACAAGGGCTGCTGGTCCCGCAATATAAAGGCATAGATGTAATGCCCTCTGCAACAAATGGCATAAGAAGAAAGGCAGAGTGAGAGCTTCCCTTCTCAGCAGGAAGCAGCCTCCACGCTTGGAGCCTGGTCATTCATCGGAGGCCTTCACCAGCCCCTAGCCCAGTTTTCCCCTCTGCCGCCATGTCACTCTGTACCCTGCAGCGTGATCTAGGCCAGGCTAAGCAGGTGCCCGGGCTCAAGCTGCATTTTTGCAACATGCCTGAAGTAGCTCTGCACAAGCGGGTGGACCAAAAAGAGCAGCGGTGGCGAGAGGGGCTGCCCGCCCTGTGTCCGTACCTATGGTCTCTGGCAGGATCCGATGGGGGGGTGGCCCTCCCTGCCACTGCACTGGGCTCTCCCTTGCTACCCCACCTCCAGCCGAGGGTAGCAAAACGTTTTGCTAGGTGAGCTGGTCTTGGAATGAATGCTGCAGCAGGCAGCGTGTTGCTTGCACGTTCTTGCCTCCCCTTGCAGCCCCTTTTCCTCTGTCCTAGGCCGGTGGCTGCAGCCCTAGAGCTGTGCCCGTGTTGCTGTGTGAGGACATCTTGCCCGAGCCAGTGGGTGGAGTATTGTACCAGGCTGCATGGCAGGGCTCCAGTCTCCCCTCTCCCTCCCTCCCGCCCTCCCTTTTCACCGGGATTCTATTCAGCTGCTCACTGTCAACGGCGAAACCGCCCAGGACTAGAACATGCAAGAGCTCGGCTGGGGCTTGACCCGGCCAGTACGGGACAAGCGTCCAGCCACTCTCGGCAATAATTCTTTGCCTAAGGACCTCCAAAGTGCTTCATACGCAATCCTCAGTCTCCCCTATGAGCTCCGTGACGGTTGCAGTAAACAAAAGCATGTAGATGTGAGATAACTGACCGATGCAACCAGTGGTGGATTAGCCACTGGGCCAACAGGGCCAGGGGCCCTGGGCAATTGGGGGGGGCCCTGGAAAAACTGGCACCCCTATGCCTCGACCCTGCTCCCTCCTCCCATCTGGCTCTCCTGCTGGGGAGCAGGGTCAGGGCACGGGGGCTTGCCCCTCTCCGCCCACCCACCTGGTGCTCCTGCCCCAACCATGCACCCCGGCAGGAGTGCCGAGTCTGGGGCGGGGCGGGGGGCAGGGCAAGCCCCTACGCCCTGACCCCATTTCCCTGGCAGGAGCATGGCGGGGCGGGGGGCGGGAATGGGACTGCAGACAGAAGGGGTAGGGAGGGGGTCCCACTTGCTCTGGCCCAGGGCCCCACAAAACTGTAATCATCCTTTGAGTGCATCACACGGCGATTGGAAAAACGGTCTCCATACTGTTGCTTTTGCTGTTTAAACATAAACTAGAACAATAAGTGCACGTAGGAAGCCTCGGCCAGGAGCACCATGACTTTGAGGGGAAAACATTAAAAGCTAGCCTTATAGAGCCCTTATTTTCCCATCATCCTTTGCTTTCCTTGCACACCTTTCATTTGAGTATCTCAAAGCACTTTATAAACAAGGCCTGCCTGGAAAATAAATGTCAACTCCATTTTCAGAAGAGGAAATTGAAACAAACATGCAACACACCGGGCTGAGCTAATAGCGAACACAAGATCCTGCTGCCCTGGTCTGACCACAGGCCCCCTTACCTTACGCTACAGATCAGAGGAGGGTTGAAATTGCTTTTTTCCCCTCTCTCTCTCTCTCTCTTGCCATGCTCAGATATTCTGGTCTAAGTTAATAGATGGGCCATCTTCGAGGTTGAGTCCTAAAGGGCTGGTCCATTTTATGTACAGAACTGCTCTGGGAAATAATCACAGTTAAAAATAAAACAGCCTTACTTTGTAACTAACAAATTAAATGAGTGAGAGAAGACAGGTTTCAGAGTAGCAGCCGTGTTAGTCTGTATTCGCAAAAAGAAAAGGAGTATTTGTGGCACCTTAGAGACTAACCAATTTATTTGAGCATGAGCTTTCGTGAGCTACAGCTCACTTAAAGAACAGCCCATTAGCCTTTTAGCTGATGTAGCTTATTGTGTAGGTCACTGAGCCTGGCCCGGTTCTGCTTCACTGGGGCATGTGTGATGCGGTTGGGTTTCAGAGGCAGTTCAGGTCCTTTTCTCCATGTCCCCAGCTCTGAAACACAAATGCTGCCACTCCCGGTCCTCCAGCATTCACCAGGGCTGGGGGCACCAATACAGTGAGAGGTGCTGGGGCAGCATGCAGACATTATGGGGATGGTGCCATCGAACATCCTAGAGAGCTACTGCCCTTTAGGGATGCCTGTTTATAAGGAAATTTGCTGGCATACAGCCCAAGTTGGACCCTACTTTCTGTTCGTTTCCAATTCTCCAGGTCTTGCTGAATAGAGAGGGACCTTAAGTACATGCTTGACTGTAGCCGGGTGCTTAAGGGTATCGTGCCCCTGCAGCTGGCTGACGTAAAACCCAGCTTGGGGTGACACACATGCGCTAGCTTTGATCAAGTGAGTGTGCTAAAAACAGCAGAGTGGCCCTGGTGGCTTGGGCTAGCAGCTCAAGTGTGAGCCTGTTTGAGGTCCTAGGTAGGTGCTTTGGTGGCTTGCCCACATCACAACACTCCTGCTGCCATGGCCATGCTGCTATCTTTAGTGCACTAGCTCAATTAAAGCTAACGTGGGTACATCTACCTGAGCTGAGGGAATCACATCTCCCAGCTGCAGTGCAGATGTATCCCAACTGATTTGCTGCATAGGGATGGACTTAAGCCTGTATTTAAATGCTTTATTAATCTGGTGCCATCCTGTCTGTCGTCAAACCATTTGGACACAACCAACAGCCAAAAACCAGTTACTTAACAAGTAAAACTTTTATTAAATAAATTTCAGATTCTTTCAACCAGAGCGAGGAGTTTGACATTAAGACATAGCTTGAATCTCACCTGCAACACCGGATCGGTCACATTGGTAACTGTGAGGGAAGAAACTGATCTTAGACACTTAGTTCAAACCAGCTCAACCTAAAATTTCCAAAGTCCTTTTTTTTTTTTTCCGTTTTGTTGTTTGTTGGTAATTTTTTTTGTTCAAAATTTGATTAAAGTTCAAACTTCATGAAATCACTTGTAGCAGAAATAAAGAACATCGTACAAATCACGTACATAATAGATGTTAAGTATAAAAATGGTATTTACAATCAGTAAACATGGACGATAGAAACGCACAAGCTTTCAACACTTCATCCTTTCTCTCATGTGCTCTCAGAATCAGACAGCGCGGGTTGGTGAAGAGCCACAAACGTACCTTCTTAAAGAGCATGGGGAACATCGGCACATGGGAATCTGGAGAATGACGACTGATTATAAAGGTCCCAAGAGAAACTTAGTCCTCAGAGCTCTCCTCTAAAACTGCTACATCGGTCTTTCCCCACCAACCCTCTGCTGATGTTGTTTAAACACACGCAGACACACACAAACACACGCAGACACGCACAGGAATGTTCTTCGCACATTATCAAACTCTGGAATAGTTGTTCAGAAGTTGTTTTTTTCTTTTGCTTAAACTTATTTTGGTAGAACCTTAAAGGGACTGTTTCAAGTTGTTAAATGGATGCTGCTTGTCCGTACGATCCCTACTTTAGGGGAGCTCCAATTAACCAAACTCGGACCTGGGTTCTGTGCTTAAGTGTATCTATATCTATATCTATATCTATCTATATATGCTGCATACTGTATAATTTGTCCTTGGATGGTTGGGGGGGGGGAATGCTGAAAAAAACAAAACAACCTCTTTTACAATGTTATCCTCCGTGCATTTGCTCTGAAAAGCCTTGCGGAGGGGCTAAGAGGTCATCAACTGGAGTAAACATCATCGCCAATGGAATGTTTGGTTTGGAAATGCTAACGCTTGATAAACAGCTCTATGTTCTAGCCGGAACGTGGAGGCCATTTCAGGCTTCCATCTCTCTGCTGTAGGATTACAGCGCTCGCCTTTGATAGGTTGGGAAAATTCCCTGTTGCCATGGAGAACGATGAAAGTCAAGGGTTCTTTGCTGAGCACGGGGAAGGTCTGCTGTTGCCGGAGATGAAGGGTAAAGGTAGCTTATTTCCCATTCCAGGAGTGCTCAAGACGGGCTTCAGAGCCAAATTCCAGTGGCCTGGTCTGCAGAAGCCCTCTAAGGAGTAAGACTGAGAGCTCTCAATATCCTTAACCAAGCTGGTGCTAAGGTTGATGGGTGAGTGAATCTTGAGTTGGCCTTGCCCCATTCCTGGAGGTATATAGTTCGCTCTCTCCTCACCGCTTGCTAATACCAAGTGGAGAGAGGATCTCCCCGTGGCCACATTCTCTGACAGTGTCCAGGCCCTTGTGCAGTCCCCGTAGAGGAGGCGCTGTCCCAGCAGTAACCCTAACCCCTCTAGAGGTGAGGAGGAGGGAGTCTCTGAATGGAAAAGTTTGGTCCTGTGATTTACGTTAAAAAAAAATAGAGACTGTATATATATATATATATTATATATATATTTATATTTATATATGAAAGGGTGAAAGCCAAAATCCCGTGAGTTGCTGTGGTGACCTAGAGACGCAACAATTGTGTTTTCTTGGTCCACGGCACTCCACGCCTATCCCGAGCAGAAGGCAGCCTGGTCTTCTACTTCTCTGGCCCCTTCCTCCCCCAGTAATGGTGGTGGCGGCAGCAGCTGGGCCGATGTCAAGCCTTCCAAAGTGTCTCTTCTCTTCGGAGCATCACGTTTTCGGGGTAGGGGGCGGGGTGGGACGGAAAGGGGCGGTGTCAAAAGAGTTCTTAAATTTACTGGCCTCTCCTGAAATCAGTTTGAAGCAGAAATTCTTCTTCCTCTGGACGGTTCCTTTGCCTGCATGAAAAGAGGGTGGGAGGTTAGGAGGCGCTAGGTTAACACCAAGGCTTCTCGTTGCCCTTGCTCAAATGTATCCTT